TTTTTTTTTTTTTTTTTTTTAACCAGGGATCAAACTCAGGACCTTACGCTTACAGGGCAGGTGGATGCACCACTGAGCTACATCTCAGGCCCAGCTTTCTGGACTTTGAATAGTTCCAGTCTGCAGTTGGCTGAGCTGACCGATGTGGGTGTGGGCCTGACTGCACGTCACTCTGTGTGCGTCCCCAGCACATGAGGATCCCTTCCTTTTCAAGGCTGAGTCATACTCCAACGTCATCAATCAGCCCCTCTTCACTCGGGACCAGTGCTCGGGTTGGCTCCCTCTTGTGGCTGCCGTGAGTAACGCGGCCGCAAACCCATGTGCACAAGCGTGGTTCACACCCCCCAATTTCATTCTTTTGAGTGTTGCTAGGAGTGGAAAGACCAGACCGTGTGGTCGGGTTTACTTTCTGGGAGCCACCACAGAGTCCTCCGTGGGGCTCCGGGTTCTTCACATCCTCACCCAGACCTGTTAGTGAATTCTACGCAGATAAACATAAAAGCCCTTGGTGAGGGCGTGGAGGGGGCTCCCAGAGTGGACTTGATCTGCATTTCTCCAGTGACAGTGACCCTGAGCACCTTTCATGTGCCGCTGGCCTTCTCTGTGTCTTTTGAGACGTCCGTTCAAGTCCTTCATCCTCTGAAAAACGGCTGACTGTTGTTGATTCCCAGAGTTCCTCGTAGACTGCATACTAATCCCTGTCCAGATGCAGTCTGCAAACCATTTCTCCACTCTTTACTCTCTTCAAAGTGTCCTTTGATTCACAGAAGTTTTTTTTTTCACCATATGTTATCTCTCTTTTTTTAATTTTTATTTTCACAGAAGTTTTTAATTTTAATGAAATCGAATTTTTCTTTTGTTGCCTCGGCTTTGGGTGTCATAGCCAGGAACTCCCTGAGTCACCTTCTCGGGGGCTTTGCCTCGACGCTTTTGACCGGGTCTCACATTCTGCTAACTGATGCCTTTAAGGCACTGTTCTGAGTACAGATTGGAACCTGTCCTCCGTCCTCTCCTCATACCGTCACCGCTCTGCGTGCATCGCCCCGTGGCCTGTGGCCCTGTGGCAGCCCGAGCGTCCCTCTGACACAGCAAGCGTCCCTGCTCCTTGGCATGACGAGATGTCCCTGCCTGCTGTCTGCGTTTCTCCTGAGCTCTGCTTCTTCTCGGTGTGGCATGCGTCTGGAAGCTGGCCAGGCCCAAATCATGTCCAGGCCCTGGCCGTGGACAGTCAGGAGAAATGTTTTACTTTAACATAAAGTATACCAGAGCCAAGGATTTAGCTCAGTGGTTCCGCTACCTGCCTCGCAATCACAAGGTCCTGAGTTCGATCCCCAGTACCAAAAAGCAAAACAAGAAACATAATGTGTACCAGAAATGCGCAGGAGCTTTCTCTTCAGGCCTGGGCTTTTGGCTTCCTATCCTTCATTTTAATCTGTATTTCCTTTTTCTCAGTTAAAACTCCTGATACTCACGTCAGCAAAATGACCCATGTTCTTTATACAGTGGCACACAGAAGATGCACAATGACAGTGTCAACACTATCATCAGCACTAGGATTATTGTGGCTATTTTTTATCCCTAGCATAGCTCCTTAGAGATAGCTGGTCAATTTTTTTGTGTATTCATGTTTCTTGGGCTACTTGCTCTCTGTGTGGTTCATTCATTTCACTTTCTTTGGAGTTTCAGCGTTCCATTTTAAGGTTTAATTTTGTTTGTCATTAGGTAGAGTTTCTGGCACTCAAGGATCAATCTCTAAAACATGGTGCTGCCCAGCACCTGGTGGTGGATCCAAAGCCACCAGACCTCCCCTGTATTTCAGACCCACACAGACCCATCCTGATGTTGGGGCTGTCATGTCAGGTGGTGCGGACAAGGACTGGGTTCACCTCCCCAGGGCCACAGGAGAGGGTGCCGCTCAGCACAGCATCTTCGCAGCCATGAGCCGGGTTGGTGCTGCTCCTCTACCCACCACTCCCTGGAGGCCCAGCAGCAGGCCAAGGCCGTGCTAAGGCCCTTCTGTGCTTGCATCACCCACACCGAGACCTTCAGCCACTGCCAGCTGGGTCCTGTGTGTGCTGGACGGGGCTGCCACGGGAGCCCCCACACGTA